CATCAGCGGTACGCACCCACGGCCCGGCTAAGGACGGAACTCAGTACCTTCAGGTTTCACGGCGAACGCGTTAACCATTTAGCAACCAGGTCGGTTTTCAGTGGTTCACAATTTCCAACTTCTGTCAAATCACGACATAGCGTGACTATCACCCGAGGTCTTTAGTCAGCATCCTCAGAAAGTGATACCTGCAACCGTGACGAGACTGATGTTCCTGCCCCCTCCTGAGATTCTAATCCACATCATAAGTGCTCCAGCCAGTCACTGCATAGAGACTAATCTCATATTGTCTAGTCCTGAGGGGTGATTGAATTTTATCGATCATGTAGTCATACCAAGGTAGGAGGTTTACTATCTCTAGAAACCGATATTCTAATTCACTATCTAAAGGGATTACTTCCATGATGCGCTTTTAATGTCCCATTTACATTTAGTAACTACTTTTATCGACAAAAAAAGGCAGTATTCGTGAGTTCACCAGTGGGCCCTCTTCTAGCAGCAGATTGCTTCATGGATAGTTTAAAAAATAGTATACTACAACATCTAATCAATCATTGTGCAATCCCATCTGTTAAGAAGATATATGGACGGTATCTTTATCATCTGTGATGAGAAAGTTGATCTTGATGCCGCTCCCCTTAAATTCACTGAGATTCGATCCTTCTAGCAATTTGACGATCGAATTAAGAACAACTCAGAAGTTCATTTTTTTTTATATTTCTTTGAAGAGAAAATTTGATAACTCTTCAAAACAACCAATCTATAGGAAGCCAATATGATGTAGACAACACATTCATTTTCAAAGTTTTCTACAACCAATTTGAACCATGTTTATTCGCTCTACACAAGAATCAGAAGAATATGCACAATTGACACAATAGAGAAAGTGAATTAAAGCATCTTTGAAAAGTACTTCTTCAAAATGGTTATCACTCAATCAATGTTCATCGAAAAAAAAACACATGAAGCTAAACAATTACAAGAAGAAGTACTTACTCTTCCTAAGAAGACCTAATTCATGAATATTGAGTTCAGAGAGGACAACACATCAGAAATACTGAACAACTATTTCTCCAAAGCATTCAAACAAACATTCTGTCCCATCGAACTATAAATGGTTTAATCTAATCGACAGTTGATTTAAGCAAGTGCGAAGAACAAACTGCCGCTTTGAATCACATGTATATGTGTCTATCAGTTTACTTGTGATTGTAAAGCTGGTTATGTAGGCCTCACAAAAAGTAGTCATTCTAAACGCATCTCAAAGCACCACCCTCGTTGGTTGTACAGAGGAGAAGGCAAGTCAAGTAATAGCTCGATATTAGATCATTTAGACCACTCTAATTATGTCGCTTCCCTACAGTCTTCTTTTGAAATCCTATACAAGTCAAAACCAAACAGCTATAAAAGAGTATAGAAGCGTTGACAATAGAACAATTAAAACCCAAGCTCTATGTACAGGAGAGGTAAGTCCTTTTCTTATTCTGTCTTAGTCACAATCCTTCCTTGAGTTTTTTTTATTACTCCAATATTCATCTTACTCTGATTGACTGATTACTTTTATTGCTTTTACTTCCCTACATTTTTACATGGTAGTTCTAATTTTTCATTAAAATTCTTATAATATTTTATTCAGATTATTAACCATTATTTTTCATCTGTTTATTTACTAACCTATTTTAGTCATCATCTCAATTGACTGTATATTTTCATGATACACCCAGTAATTACGCAATCTCTTCCAATTCCATATAAGACTTGTTTATTTGATTTATAACACACAGTGAGTGATATAGTATTATTTAATTGATGACCATTTGAGTATAAATGATCACTGTTCATAATCATATCAATGCAATCACACTACTTTCAACATATGATTTTTTATGGGCCTGTCACTAGTGTTCTTCGATTTCATCAATAATAAGTTTTCCACTATAGGTTTTGTGTCAATTCCTAATAAACGTGTTGGGTGTTAGTTGATTCGATGAATGAAGATTCAGTAATCAATCTCTTAACCTCACTTAGTTTACTAGTCGGCCCTAAACTCGGATAAAGAGGGAAATTTAGGCACAGGGCTAGCAACCCTACCCTACCCCGTAAAACTAACTCCATAGCTAAAGAAACTTCAAATCACAAAGAAAATGCAAAACATAAAATTAAACTTAATCCTCTCTGAAATCCGAGAGGCAAAATGACGCTGGTTGGTGAAAGCCTCCTCGAAGGCAGTTGGCCGATGTCTCTTCTCTTCTCTCGATGAAACCAAAAATAAACATAGGGACATGGAATGTTCACACAATGTTTAAAGCTGGTTGACTGGCAAGGCTGCCCAGACTCCAAAAGAGATGAAACGGTATATCTTAGAAATGCTATGAATCTGCAGATGGAATGGAAGTGGACTCTCCAAACTATCAACTACAGAGTTAATAACCTACTCCGATATCGTCACCCAGATGACAACTACGAAAACACTGAGTTTTCGAGTGGTTATCATGATGTTCTAAACACCATCGAAGGGAGATATTGAGCAACATCCATGAAGAAACATGAGTGGAAGAACACCAGAACTCTGTGAAAGCTATGTGGAAGGAAACCTGCATAACAGTGTTAGGTAGGAAGAAGAGGAAGCGAGACGAGATGACATGAGACAAGTAATGGACCTCGACAGATTCATGGAAACTGATACAGGAGGGAGAGGAAGATGGTGAAGCAGAAGATGAAGCAGTGCAGTGCAGTGCAGTGAAGGGATGAACAACGAAAGGAGGAACTCTATACAACCTACCAAACACTACACTGGAGAAACAAGTTAGGAAGAGTGCATGCAAAGACAAAAGAAACTTCTACGACACACTGGCAAGTGAAGCAAAACAGGCTGCAGGTAGGAGAGTAGAGATCTGTCAACACATATCAAATAACCAGGTTATTATCTGGAAGGTAAGAGATCAACTCAGATGAAACCATGAAAGATAGTGAAATAAAAAGCCTGGTTACCAAAGAGGAGGAAGAAAGGAAACAATGAGCCGACCACCTCAAAAAAACTCTTGAATCGACCACCACCGCCACCACCTGCAATTCGTTGAGAAAGGTAACCAGCATCTGAGTGACAGAACTATCAGTGGACACAAACACTCCAATGAAAGCTGAAGTGAAGTCCTGCAGGCCATGTAAGTTACTGAAACCCGCGAAAGCACCATGACTAGATGGGATTCCTACAGAAACACTGAAAAACAACAAAGAGACAATAGCAGACATGCTCACACCACTATTGCAAAAGATTTTGAAGGAAGCAAGGAAGGAAGGAAAGGTATCTACTGATCGATTGGAAGAAAGGTCACCTTGTCAAACTCTCAAAGAACGACGACCTACGTATTTGCAACAACTGGCGCGGAATAATGCTCCTTTCCCTGTTCATCTCAAAAAATATTAAGCACATCATCATCCTGGAGAGACTACAAGGTACTCTAGATTCAAAATTACGACCGAAATAGGCTGGCTGACTGACTGGCTGACTTCAGGAAAACAAATCAAGTGCTGAACAAGTTGTAACGCCACGCATCATCACAGAATAGAGCGTAGAAAGCCAGTCAACTCTCTACCTCAACTTCATCGATTTTCAAAAGGCCTTCGATAGCGTTGACCGACAAGTAATTTGGAAACTGCTCCAACACTACCGAGTACCACAAACCTTTATCAACCTCACTCAACAGCTATATGCTTTATGATGCTATACCCCGATTGATTCACAATGGAAAGCTCAGTGATGCTTTTGGAGTGAGGATATTAAGGAATAAGACAAGGTTGCCACCTTCTATCACACTTGATTTTCGTGACTGTGGTTAACTTGACTTGACTGGAGTGGAGTGGACTGGACTGGGTCATGTAAGAAACTGTGAGTAGCTGTGAGAAGATGGGCATACACTGTTTGACTGGTGAGAAGACTCGAGGAGAAGATTTGGATTTCTCCCATGATGATTTATATCTGAAATCTAATGTTGTGCACAAACTGGAATATCTACAGGTGAGAACTAACCAGTCGGCAGAAGAGGTAGGGCAGCTAAGGAAGACGGGACTTCGTTCAGGTGAACGTAGAGAAGACACAGGTGATGAAGATACTGAACCAACAACAACAAACACAACAAGAGACAGCGATCACCATGAAGGGGAGAAATCTAAACGAAGTTGTCCATTTCACGTACTTGCCTACCTTGGCAGCATCGTTTCAACTACAGGCGACACACAAACACACATGAGGATGTCAAAGTCAGCCAGCATCGGAAAGACAGCATGACAGGTTTTCCTTCATTAATCTGAAGTAATCAGTGTGGAGATCTACTGAACTGCACTGCACTCACCATAAAGCGTGAACAACATCCGGATTTTCAAGATGACTGTCAGTCAAGGAAGTCAGTGATGCTATGTGATGGTTGAGAGACTTGGCGTGTTAAAAGCATTTTCAGTAACCTGCAGACATACATCAACAGCTGCCACCTACACTCACTCAATACTGAAGATCAGATGACCAGAATAATAGGAATAAGCAGGGTGAAACTCTGGCTGGCTGGCTGGCTGGCTGGCTGGCTGGCTGGCTGGCTGGCTGGCTGGCTGGCTGGCTGGCTGGCTGGCTGGCTGGCTGGCTGGCTGGCTGGCTGGCTGGCTGGCTGGCTGGCTGGCTGGCTGGCTGACTGGAAACGAACCAACCAGGAACCGATCGTCCAAAAATTATACAGATGAAGAAAGTGGAGATGGATTGGATTTGATTGGATATACATTGAGAAGACCACTTGGGGACATCACGAGCCAGGCACCCGAGTGCAACCCAAATGGGGAACGACGAGTTGGAAGTCCGAGGGTGACATGGAGAAGATGGTGTGAGGAAGAAATGAAAGCTTCTGGGCATTTGTGGAGACAGGTTCAAAGAAGTATAGGGAATAGAGTAAAATGGTGAGGTGGTACTGAAGTCCTATATTCCACTAGGAACCCAAGTGACAAATAATCATAATAATCAATCCCTCACTTTCTCCACCTAGTTATAGTTGCCTTGAGTACATTAGTTGTATCCCACCCATCCTATCATGTGATTGTATGTTAATGCACACGTTGCAATTGTCGACTTACTTTCTAATTATTGTTTTTATTGGGATCTGTTATTCTACCTTTAGCTAAATTGGTATGTTCCGCTAATCTAAATGAATCCAACCGGCTAGTTTGACTTATGTGCTTGACCTCACGGTAATTACATGGACTTCAGGACATTTCATCCAATGTCAGTCAGTGAAGGCAGGTTTAGTCATATGTCTAAATGACAGAGCTAGAAAACTGACTAGTCAGTACAAAGACCTAAACAAGAACTGAAACATATAAAAAAAGCCCTAGTAACTAATAATTATCCTCCACAGTTTATTAAGAAGTCTTTAAGTACACGTAAGAAACAAAATAACAGTAACATGAATACGAATACTAATGACAACACGAGTAGAAATAAGTTGAAAGCTTCTATTGTGTTACCATACCATATAGGGAAAGTACATCAGAAACTTTACGTAAGGTTTTCAGCAAAGCTGGAATTAAAGTGGCGTTTAAACCTACAAAGTCATTGAGAAATGAGCTTCGTCGGCTTCAGGATCCGATAGAAACAATTAAGTAAAATAATCGAATCTATCAAATTTCATGCAATGAATGTGACGGGTCAAGTAAATAGGTGAAACTAGCCGGTTGCATTCATTTAAATTAGCAGAACATACCAATTTAGCTAAAGGTGGAATGGCAGATCTCAATAAGATCAGTAATCTAGAAAGTAAATCGACAATTGCAACGTGTGCATTAACACACAATCACATGATAGGATGGGTGGGATACAACCAATGTACTCAAGCAACTATAACTAGGTGGAGAGAGTGAGAAATTGTCTATTATTATTTTCAGCGATGTTACCCATAACCTTTAACCACTGATTTCTTTCGTCTCGAGAACACCAACCACGTAGTCACGTCTTGCTCTGGCCACCCTAAACTCTTTTCCAACCTTATTCAACTTCCGCCAGCATGACAGGTTGAGGTAGGCAATAGATCGGTATGCGCAGTACAAGTTCAAGATATCTCAGACGATAAAGGTGTACAACTTTATCAATCATTTTTCCCCAGACGGTGATTCCACTAAATACTATCTGAGATAGCCAAGGTTTAGCAAACTTGCATTACTATTACTGGGTGATGAATGGAAATGAAAAGAAAATTAGGATCGCATCAGGATTCCCACCAGCGACCTTCGGGGTTATCGACCCACTATTCTACCAACTATAAAAGAAGAAATCTACGCTTGTTCACCTATTTTGGGCCCAGAATAATTCATATATATACGTTTTTTGAAGAATCACAACTACATATGTGTATTGATTAATTCAGCTCAACTCAACAAAAAGTAGCACAAACATTCGAGCTACATATGAAGAAGTGATTCATGCATTGCTTCGAAACAGAAACTTAACAATTCCATTTATTGTGTAATATTGGTGCTGTTGTTAGTACCAATCACTATTAACTGAAGAAATCTAAAGGAAGTTGTCTTTTTCACCTACCTACCTGTCTGGGCAGCATCCTTTCTACTACAGGCGGCACAGGCGAGGATGTCAAAACCAGGATCTGAAAAGCAAGACAGGCTTTCATTAATCTGAAATCAGTATGGAGATCTACTGCACTCAACACAAAGAACAAGATCCGGATATTCAACATCAATGTCAATTCAGTGCTGCAATATGGTTCGGAAACTTGGAATGTCATGGAATCATTTCCAACAAACTACAGACATTGGTCAACAGCTGACTACACTGACTCGATACTGAAGATCAGCTGGCCAGAATAATGAGAATAGGTAACAAGGAACTCTGGCTGGTGACGAACCAACCAAGAACCTATCACCCAACAAATATGCACTGGAAGGAGTGGAGATAGAGATGGATTGGGCATACACTGAGAGGCCGATTGAGGACATCACGCACCAGGCCAGTCGCTCGAGTGGAATCCAAAGGGGAAACGACGAGTAAGGCGTCCGACTGTGACATGGAGGAGATAGTGTGAGGAAGAAATGAAAGGTTGCGGTCAGTCGTGGAGCCATGTTAAGGAGACAGACTGAAGAGAAGAAAGTGGAATGGAGACGTGCTACTGAAGCCCTATGTTCCACTAGGAACCCAAGGGAAAAATAATAAATAATAATAATATATATGTAATATTGGAAAGTAAAATATGCATACCAGGAAAAGGTAGGGTAGCACCTTTATTACTGATCCCATTGTCAATAGCCTCTCGGATATCAGATATAACTGATTCACGAAAAAGTTCATTGAACGGAATATCTAATAAATAAAAAACGATGATTTATTGTAGAGAAATAGTAAATGGCTTGTAAAACATAAGTTAAGTAATAAATAGATTTTCAGACATACATCCCCGTATCATGCCTCCGTGGCATAGTGAGTAACCCCTCAGCATTTAAAGTGATGGCTACGAGGTTCAAATCTTAGTGAGAGCAACATCACTTACTGGGGTGCAGGCATATCTAGTTAACGAGTCCCGAAATAGGACGAAACAAGCGTCCTGGATTCCTCGGCTAGCCACAACCAACCAAATTACCATAAAACCCCATACTCTGTTGTTTAACATCTTCTTAACTACTTGCTCAAATACTACTTAATTTATTTCTCATAATCATGAAAATTTTCTTCAAACCTCAGTAAACGACATTATTTACCATGCAAATGTATCCATACTCTCACGATAACATCTTACGCATCTTATGTGATACATTTCCAATTGAGTTGGATTAGTAGCTGGAGATTTGTGCATACAATATTTTGTACAAAGAGTGGAAGCAATCATACATCGAGTCAGTGCTGATTACGATAAAAATCAGTATAGCTCACTGATATATTACTGCTAACTATTGGGAAGACTGGATAAAATAATCTATGATACCAAAAGGTATCCTCTCCATAAAAAATTATTCTTTCATTAGAATTTAAGGTAGTTGAAAAATATTTATGTGTACAAATTACTGACCGTCTGCTATATACCCCCTATTTGGCATAGCCTTTGACCGATCTTTTGCCCATGACCTTGAAATAATCTATCATACCTGTTTTTACACATTACTAGTTTTTCTACTCTGCCCTCTCAAGGTTGAACACTCATTGGTTGTTCACTATTTTAACCTAAATGTGGATTGTGTTCTCAAGGTCATTTGGAAATCTGTGTATACTCAGCATCGCTCTCAACTGTATTGACTGTCTAGTGTTAATGCTTGTATTACACCGTCGTTGATTGGACCGAATTGATCAGCCTCTGTTGGTACATGGGCTCCTATGCGGATGCCTCAAAATTGCCTGTCTTTTAATTATGTATAGTAATGATGGGCAGCAGCTAGCACTGGAATCCAGAATGCGCGTTTCGTCCTATTTGGAACTCGTCAGCTGGATGTACCTGCCTCCCAGTGACCGATTTTGTTCCCACTGGGTTGTTCTCACGTTTAAAGTGATCGCTCCCGAGTCCCGTTGGGAACAACATCACTCACTAGGAGGCAGGTACATCCAGCTGATGAGTCTCAAATAGGACGAAAGGTGCATCCTGGATTCCACTGCTCGCCACTGCCCAACATTACTATACATGTATTGACTGTTGTTTATCTCCTCTTTTTGTGTTCGCCTGTTAGTGATATTGTTGTTGTAGTGGTTGACGTTCTGATTTGCTTTAGATTCGTTTTGTATCGCTAGTAGACTTTTAGGTCAACTACCGGTTCATAGCACCATCAACTCATATCACGAAGACAGGGCTATTATCCTTCACATAAATTAATTATTTGATTGATAATAAGTGAGTTTTAGACATTAGTCTTACATTAACCCTAAACAAGTAGGTAGGGATAATGTACCAGCAAAAGACAATGCTATACACCGACCAATGTTTACGAGTTACCTAAGATCTACTTGATTGAGTGCAAGTCGCGGGAGGAAATGAGACAGACAGATCGATAAGGAACCTAACATTAAAATTATATCACTAGTGGAGATAATGGACGCCAATATACCATATTTGTGTGTTTGTAAAACAGGTTATTACTATTTATTATTATTAGTCCCTTGAGTTCCTAATGGAACATAGGGCTTCAGTAGCACGTCTCCAGTGACCTCTGTTCTCTGAGATCTTTTCAACCTGGTTCCACGACAACCCACAAGCTCTCATTTCCTCTTCGCACGATCTCCTCCATGTCACCCTCGGACGTCCAACTCGTCACCTCCCATCGGGGTTCGACTCCAGGGCCTGGCCTGACGCGTGATGTCCCCAGTCGGCCTTCTCAATGCATGCCCAATCCATCTCCACTTCCTTCCAATATGTATCTGTTGTGTGATAGGCTCTTGGTTGGCTCGTTTCCAGAGCTCCTTGTTGCCTATTCTTTCTGGTAATCCATCTGAGCTTCAGTAGCGAGCCAGCGTAAGCAGTTGTTGATGAATGTCTGTAGTTTATTGGAAATGCCTTTCGTAACGCTCCAAGTCTCTGAACCATACAGGAGCACTGACTTGACTGGTATTAATGTTGAGAATCCGGATCTTGTTCCACATGCTGAGTGCAGAAGATCTCCACACTGGTTTCAGACTAATGAAGGTCTGTCTTGCTTTTCCAATTCTGACTTTGACATCCTCGTCTGTCCCGCCTGTAGTTGATAGGTGAAGGAGGTTACTTCCTTTGAGTTTCTCCCATTGATGGTGATTGAAGTTTGTTGTTGCTGTTGTTGGAGTTGTTGGTGCGGTATCTTCATCACTTCTGTCTTCTCTATATTCACCTGAAGTCCCGTCTTCGCTGCCTCTTCTATCAACCTGTTAGTTTTCGCCTGTAGGTCTTCAAGTTTGTGTGACATCAGGCACAAGTCATCACTGGCGAAATCCAGATCATCTAGGTTCTTTTCCGCAGTCCAGCGTATCTCCCTCTTCTCACAGCGCCTCACTGTTTACTGCATGATCCAGTCGACCACAATCAGGAATATCATAGGTGATAGTAGGTGGCAGCCTTGTTTCACTCCTCCCTGTCTTCACTTCAAAAGCATCACTGAGCTTCCCATTGTGAATTACTTGGCTGGCATGTGGCGTCTTCATATAGTTGTTGAATGAGGCTGATAAAGGTTTGCGGTACTCCGTAGTAATGAAACAGTTTCCAAATTACCTCTCGGTAAACAGGTTAATTGACTAAAATGAATAATTAAGAACAAAAAAACAAATATGATGATGAACAACTTACGCAACGATGACTTCAAATGGCAGATATCGAATTCAGTCTTCGGGCGTATATCGATAAGCAAGTACGACGATTGAGAGTCTATATAATTTTTTAATTGCTAAACAAAATAATTGTTATATATATACACACACGGAAAACATTTTTATTTACTTGAACAGTAATACGACGATTATTCATAATCATATTCATATTCCGTGGCTGTCAAATGAAAAATAATAAAAAAACATGACACATGAATGACTAATATCACTCGAAAGGAAACTATTACATAAATTAACAAAACTTTCAATGCCACATCAACCTTATTCGCTAAGAAATTATACGTATGTCTGCACTTCGTGAGAAATACTTTCATAAGGCGCAAAGTTTCTCAACCATCACACAGAAACACTGACTTTCTTAACTGAGATTAGTGTTGAAAATCCGGATCTTGTTCACGCTTTATGCTGAATGCAGTGCAGTAGATCTCCACATTGATTACTGCAGATTATTGAAAAAAGACCTGTCTCGTTGTCTTTCCGATTCCGGATGGCTTTAACATCCTCAGCTGTGCCTGTGCCACCTGTAGTTGAGTCGTTGCTGTGTAGTTAGGTAGGTAGGTGTGGGGTGGTAGGAGGTAGGTAGGTGGGTAGGTAGGTAGGTAGGTAGGTAGGTAGGTAGGTAGGTAGGTAGGGGACATAGAGAACTCCGTTTAGATTTCTCCCCTTCATGATGACTGGTGATTGGTGATTGTTGTTGTTTGTTGGGTATTTTCATCACCTCTGTCTTCTCTACACTCACTCGAAGTCACGTTTTCATTGCCCTACCTCTTCTGTCAACTTGTTCTTGTTTGATTGTAGATTTTCGAGTTTTTACTTTCTAGACACTAGACATAAATCATCATGGGGTCTTTTCATCGGTCAGACAGCGTATGCCCATCTTTTTTCACAGCTCCTTAAGGTTTACTGCATGATCCAGTCGACCACAATCAGGAAGATAGTCGGTGATAATAGGCGACAACCTTGTCTTACTCCTGTCTTCACTTCAAAGACATCACTGAGCTTTCCATTGTGAAACACTCCATAAATACTTAAATGTGTATTGTGTTCTCTTTTCTAGATTATGACAATTAATGATAATGAGTGATTATTCAAGATGAAATAGAATTCTAGGCAGCATAAGGATTTGAATCAGTGATCATCGAGTTCCCTACTACAAATTCTATCAACCACAGTCATCTAACATTATCAAACTGACAATCGATATCATTATCCATCTCTCCAATTCACCTCAATTTAAATTGGGATGAGAAGTCCTGACTGAGTAATCACTGTGGATACTATAGAACGATAGTAATGAATCATGAATCGAAGTGATATCATTGGTGACTAGAGTAAAATATAAATCTAGTCAGAAGCGAAGTCCCCATAGCTCATTTGACAGATCATAGAACTGCTAACCCTAAAGTTGCTGGTATGAATCTTGTCGCAACCTAAATTCTTACTTCTCTTTCAGTTATAACTGTGTCAAACTAGGGCCATCTTAATTAGTTGAAGGCATCGAAGATAGTCAAATACACATTATGAAATTATTCATAGAATTAAGTAACATAGTCTAATTTTTGATAAATATAAACTCTTACCATTTGATTGCTTGTAATTTCTAATAACTAAAATTTTGATCTTTGTGTTTTTATATTGTATACTTGATTGATTACACGTGATAAACAGATGTATAAGTAAATTTCACTCCATTGTTCAACATATCAATGATTGTACTTCTTTAATTGTACGCATTACATTAAGTTCATTTATATTCTTATCATCTGCTCAATAGTTTACATAGAAATTGTTAATTATACGAATATCTATTATAAAGGGAAACAATTGAACAAAGAATTTCTATTCTTAAAGTCGTTTAACTAGCTTAGTGATGATAGAGTTATGCATTTTTCTTAGATTGACTAGAAATAAATGATAATATTTTCATAAAGTCAACTAAGATTTCAAGCTACTTTCATCATGGAGTGACATCAATTGAGGAACCTTTGAAAACTTGGATAGCTGTTTCATCCTAGTGAGGGAATACTTAATAGTACGCACTCGGACAAGGATATGGACCGAACTCAGGACTTTTAGGTTTCACGCTGAACCCGTTAATCACTCATGACTGAGTAGGAGTCCAACGGTTCACAGTTTCCAACTCCTGTCAATTCATGATATAGCCCAGCTATCACCCAAGGTCTTCAGTTGACATACTCTTCCCTACCGACTGGTTGACTGTACAAGCCACAGCTTCTCATCAGAAATTCCGGATATCTATCTGGAAGCATATCACTAATGGGGATGATACAGTTATGTATTGAGGTGAATGGGGATTTCAGTTTTGAGGTGGTATTCATCATGAGCTGATGTCATTTGGAGAAAAGCTGTAGACCTGTGAACACTGGACAGCTGTATCGTCGTAGTATGGCAATACTAAGAAGTAAGAACTTACGACCCGGCTACGGATCGAACTCAGGGCCTTCACTTCTTGCAGTAAACCCTTAAACTATTCATCCACTAGGTCAGAGTTCAACATACAGTTCATAGTTCCTACTTCTGTCACTTTGCGATATATCGCAACTATCCACCAATTTTCTTATTCACGATTCACGTAAATTCCTACTGATCAACTTTATATGTCACAGTTTCTCATTAGAACTTCAGGATAGCCATCTCAATGTAAGTTAATTATGAGATGGATGAAGACAGACTTTTTACTAATGGTAACTTAACTCGACTTTAAGTCCTCTGTTGTTTTTAGATCTGTTAACAAATGGTTATGGACATCCATTGTTCCATAGGCATCTTTTAGTGATTTGCAACAATTTCTTTCTTCAATTTATCCCGGAACAAGTCATTTTTCCTTTCTGAAACCACATTCTACCTACCGCTTTATGATAATTTAAAAAAAAGGATACTAAGTAACATTTCACATGCACTTTCGATGAAATAACCTTGGGAGAGTACCATCTGTCGCATGTTATATTGCGAAATCTAGAATACATGACATCTTAAAAATGTTAGAAGAAGACAAGTCTCCCAAATTACGGCTATCTCATATAGTCAAAATAATGTAAGGCAGCAGTTCTGCATAAAACAGTATTGTCGATCTGAACATTTCTAACTTGGCATTCTCACACCATTTTACAGTATGACTAGTAGTTTAATTTCTGTCCCCATTGTAATTCGCTGACTGGTTAACTTTTATTCTTGCTACACGAATTTCTGCAATTGCGTACGAGGTAACATTTCATGTATGTACATACTCGTATTTTGGATTGATATATTATTACATTCTCGGAGTAATAAACTCTCGCATCTACCAGCTTCGGTCTTCGCTCTATTCGCCCCGGGGTTGCAGTCAGTGGCTCTTGCATACTAAGTTGACTGTCAGCTAAGCGTGCGTATCCTATTACTAGTAATATATATATATAACCGTTTGCCTACGAAGATATAACAGATAATCAATCTGATGCTCACCCCCCCCCGACCACCTCTCTAGTTCACTTTGATTTGAACTGAGTTCTGACTAAGCAGCCAGGATGAATACGACAGTAACGCGTCACGAATCCATACGTTAGTCGGGCAAAAGCCTTGATAACTGAGGTGAAATTTAAATCTGATCAGAAGCCGGGTCTCGCAGCTATTGGTAGAGCAATTTGCTGGTTCGAATCCTGCTACGGACCATATAGAAGTTACGGTTCATTGCGTACAGCACGTACATAGTTGCACTGCACTTCACTCAACAATTTATGGTGAGAATTAACTTGACGTTTTACTGAAACAGTAATTAACCAGCAAGCCAGTAATCAGAAAGAAGCAGTTTCTAGTCTCTTCGTACTATCATTTGTTTCAGTTCACCCTCTTGGCATTACTATCTGACTTTGATCCTAATAATTTTCTTTGTTTATGAAAACCCACTGACGTCTTGTCGCGTCATCCTTTCATAGCGCAGTATTTATTTATGTTTACCAGACTCGTCTTCACCTGTTGTTTCATCTTTCTTAAATATGGACAATCTTAATAACATCTGCAGATGTGATCCATCAATGCTGCCTCCGTTTAAATTGAGGCCATCATCATGAACATAGGACCAGGTATTACTGCTTAACGGTCTGAGTTGTCACAGTTCATATCAGTACATAAAGTAAACAAGGCAGTGAAGTGGAACATGAAGAAAAAAAGAAAATTCAGTCAGAAGAAACATCAAGTACTAGAAGGAAAGGAAGAATGAGAAAATGGTGAGATTCGGTATAGCGTTGTTAAGATGAGGATAATGTGTGTATACATCTGTACCACTGATATCCATTCGTGGCCATATAACCTAGAGTTAGTCTCGAACCTCTGAGTCCTCTTGTCTGCCGACCCTAATCGCATAGTCTGCATCACCCCACATGGCTCAAACCAACAGTCAAACACTTCACACATTCATCCCATGTTTTAGTCTGGCCACCTCAGGCCTTTTTTCAGCCTGAACGTAACTCGGCCAACATCATATGACGAGTCAGGTGGTGATTAGGCATACGTAACCTGTCCCAACCATCTCAGTCGATGAAGGTTTACAACCACATCAACTAACTTACCTCTTCTCACTCCCTAAAACTCTACACCTGACTTCTGTGTTACTCACGTGATGACACCACTAATCACGGCCTATACTATGAAGGGAGTAGTGGTAAAACACCTGAAGCTTTCTCATGTCTTCCACCTTCAATGGCCATGTTTCACAGCCATACAGTAGAACAGATCGGACTTTTGTGCAGTATACGCGATCATTAATAGGCATTCGGATATCACAGCGGCTCCACAGGTGAAGTGAGTTGGGAAAAGCCATTTAAACCTTTTGTACTCGTGCAGAGATTAAATTGGCCACTAAGCCACCAGGGCTGATCCTACTTCCCAGGTAGGTGAAGTGGTCGACATACTCAACCACTACGCTCTTTATTGTTAGCCGAGGCACGTCTGAAGACCAATCCTCGCGCAGCAATTTGCATTTGGGTGGTGAGAAACGCATCCCAAACATTCTCAATTCGCCACTCATGGTGTTCAGAAGACTCTGCATCTTGTCAGCGTCTTCACCTAACAGGACAATGTCATCTGCGTATTCTTGGTCTAACGAAAATTATTCTGTGATTAGATCAACCTCTGTGTAGTCAGGCGACGAAAGGGAGACCTTCACAGGAATATCTATGATAAAATTGAATAAGAATGGAGACAGTGGGCACGCATGACGAACACAGCTCCCTGGACATCTCACTATAGGCTCTAACATGCCCACAAGTGTTGGAGTAGACAGCCTTCGACAAGGTAATGTTTTTACTCGGCACACCTTTCAGTGAGAGACACTGCCATAAGACTTCTCAATCAACGGGGTCGAATGCCGCTTCAGGTCGAGAAATACAGCTAGTGTCCGGGCGAGGGTGAGCTTCCTTATGTTCCAGAGTCTGGCGCAGTGTGAATATTTGGCTATCGTGTATCTATAACTGACTACGACAATCAAATCTCTATTCCATATCAAATGTTCTTGTAAATATGTAAGGTACCATTCCATTAGAATGGAGGTCAAGGCGATTAAAATCTATCACAAAGTAGAGTGACTAACTTCTAGATACAGTAATCTCAACGAAAAGCTTCTATTACATCTAATATTAATGTATTCCAGGAATCCAATTATCAATGAGCACTTCTGTCACAAAAGAATGAAGAAATGTACAGACAGACAGAAAAAAAACCAACGTAGAACCTCACACATCGGTTCAAGTTGCCATACTTCAGAAAACATTAACTTCAAACATTTACCCATATGTAAAAATAATTCACCAACATATCAGAATTAACATAACTATCACAATGAAATACTTTAATCCTTATAGAAATATGTACCTAGTTGGTAAAGTAAACCGAACCCTACGAAAAAACATATCATTATTAACGGTTACTCATTTACGTACAAACTATTGTGAAGTGGTACACACACACACACACACACACATACACCTTTGAAGTTATAAATTTGATAATAAATGAATTGAACTCAACCAGTAACATGAATAAATTGAAATTTATACAGATCAAATTTAATCATGTAAAGGGGTATACAAGGAAAAAAGATATTCCTAAAGAGAAAATAATAATTCGATAAATAAGTAAAAACAAGGAACACGGAAAGAAACAAAAACCTTTGTGACATCACAATTTGAAAAAAGAAGTAGAATATGATGGAGATATTAACTCAGAAATCGTATATAAAAATAAGCAAATACAACAAGCAAAAGAATACAAAAGAGTACATATTTAACATAGGCTGATTGAAGGTTGAGAGTAGAAGCATCTTGACGATATTTTTTGGACATTGTAGACAAACTAGATGCACGAGCATCAAGAGCTAGAAAGAGAGAGAGACAGTGAATCACAAAAAAACAATTACTAATGAGATAAAATAGATTAATGTGAATACGAAAAAGTCACTTGAACACACTTATAATGGTAATAGGCAGTTACCTTCGTTTGCATGACAGATATACCTCTGATTGGAGCTTGCTACACTGTCTAACACTACATCAAGCAATAAAGCGATAGGATGAAAGATAAAGTAATGAACAAGAATCGGTCAAAACTTCGGTAGAGAAGAAGGAAGAATAAGATGTCTGAAGTTAGTACAACAACTAAGATCACATCAGGATCATTTTTGGAGGTCGATTCTGAGCCATATGACCTACAGTCTCCAACTACTGGCCCTTGTTACCTGGAGACTAACCGGTTAGTCTGTATCTCAAAACATGGCTCAAGCAGTGATGCCACGTTTTAGTCTGGTCACTCCGAGTCTTTCTACAGCCTAGACTTACTTCAGATAGCACTAGGCAAAGAGGTAGATAGTGACTAGACATATGTAACGCATGTCCCAGTCATCTCAGTCAATGAAAATTTACAACTCCATCAACTGACCTTCCTCTCTGACATAAAACTCTACAACAGATTTCTGCGTAACTGAGTTGGTGACACCACGACACACGGTTTGTTTTATAAAGACAATGGTGGCAAAACACCTGCAGTCTTTTAATTTACTCTACCTTTAATGGTCATGTTACACTACCAAACAGTAGAACAGAGAGAAATGAAGTGCAGTACCACTTGACCCATCAAAGACGATTGGATATCACGACGGAGCTATGAGTGGCATAAGCTGGCGAAAACCAAGAGAACTCTTTAAAGTTATCCTTTGAGTTATTAACTGAAGTGAACACAAGGCGAAAAATTCGCAATCTAACTACTGGCAGTTAGTTAAAAGTGGCAGGTAGTAAATCTATATAGCTGAATAAATGGTTTACCGCAGTAAGTTACAAATATTCAACACAGTCGTTTCAGAAGGACATCATTTACAGTTAATTGACTATTAGTTAACGAAAATTGTACTAGAGATTAATTTTTGAGTAAACCAGCGTTAATACTGGGTGATGACTGAAGGTGAAATGAAAATTTGAACCGCGGCTGGATTCAAATCAGCTACCACCGGGTTTCTGGCAGGATGCTTTAACAACTGAGCTACGAGGTCCAACTGCTAACCAGATTTTTATTTCACTTCAACCAACAAGGCATTTTGCCCGACTACCATGTGAATTCATGACGCGTTACCACCGCTTGATCGTTTTCACACTGGCTGCCTAGTTTGCCAAACCACGGCTACCTCACAGTCAAAATAATAATCAACATGATGCTCCTTCCATCTCTCCAATCCATTTAGATTTTGATTGAGATGAGAAGTCTTGACTAGGCAGCTAGAATGAATACTGTCAAGTGGTAGTAACGCGTCACAAATTCACATTGTAGTCGGGCAAAGCCCTTCATGATTGATAGTCAAAATGATAAACTAGCTTTGTTCCATTGAAATAAATACAAGTTTACCTGTATACAAATCGAAGCTGTTTTGAAATGGAAGGACAGTTAACTGTGATGATCAATATCACTGGTCTGTCAACTTGTCACTGCAACGCTCTTATCAGAGAATATTACTTTGAACACAGAAATTCAGGTATCGGTCACTTGAATTTTCCACACAATGGTGTCTACTACTATTGAGGCGGAAATTCTAGCAGAAGTTAATGCATAAGAAATTGTAGTGACAAAAATTCATCAATGTAGCCGAACGACACTATTCATTCATAGAGTGACAATGAAAAGTGGCTAAAGACAGTAGTGGAAAACAGAACGATCAGATAATAAACAGACAAAAGTACTCCAGTAAAGTCTTGATTTTATATTTAACAGTCTGAAATCAAGAAGAAAAAGATTTTTTTAATGCACTCAGCCACCTTGTGTATATCTGTGCAGTAGGCAGTAAGCCACACCTATTGTGTATGAAGGCTAGTGATATACTACCAGGCTGTTGAAATCCAGGTAGGTGGGGTGGTACTCGAGCCCGTAACTTATTAGATGAAAATCATCTCCCTAAACTAATGAGCCACAGCTTCAATGATATTCAAGGATGCAGAAATAATGTTTGACGGAACAAATGACCGCCTTGACATTAGAGAACAATCTATTTGACTAAGGTACGAAAAAGCAATGGGGTTAAAAGATGCTGCTGATAAACTTAATTGTCTGTTGGCACTGTACGCATCAAAATCATGAAAAGTGGATTAAGTATTTTATTTAACACTGGAGATAAAAGTGATCGCTGAAAAAAACACTTAGAATTACCCTACTTTAAATTTCCTTATCTGAAATCAGTAAGAATCATTGTCAACTAAAAGTGCGATTACCACGTCAATCTGCAGGCTTACATATAAAAGCAAAGCTTTTAAATAAAGTTAGGGGTTGACAATTTAGGATCCGGTATAACCGAGTCTACACTTCAGAGGTCATCTCAAAGCCAAGATAAAACATAAGATTGCTGTGCAATGTTCCTATTCTTTGTTAGATAGTTGAGATACCAAATTCGATTTATCAAAGCTGAGATTTTGTCAGCAGCTTAGGGTTGAAGTGGTTAGCGTATTCTGTAGCTTCATGTCTTACTCTTAAAACAGAATCTGGTGCAGACTAGTCGAGTAGCATCATCTTAAATTTGACAGATGGATGCCAAAAACACATAGGAAATAAACTATTTACAAGTGATTACTTTTTGATGTCCGATATTTTTTACATGTATAGTATAAGTACACCTCTTTGAAACCTTTTTATGCACAGCTTTAGCATTTCTAACTTTGTTTCACAGATTACTAGGTATAAAGGTGGAAAGGCTTTGAGAAATGTTATTTAACCGCCTGAACAATTGGATTCATTAAAAAAAGAGATCTTTACAAATTATAACTAACTTGAAAGAGCTTCTCCACGCTGTAACACATCGTCGATGTTCTGTACCATGATCCGTTGTACATCTTGCAATGCCACATTCAGTTGACTAAGGTTAGATGACCGGCTATCGCTATAGATTTTTTGAGTTTTGTGTATGACATGATCTAGTAAAAGGAATAAGTTAGGACAAAACGGTTACCAAAGTCTAGGAATGCATACGGTCGTGAAACTGTCTGTATCTGTTGAGAGTATTTCCCATAGAATTCTGTCTGAATGGCCTCTAAAAATGCGAAGGCCTTAGTGCGATTGAACTGAGATTCTGTAAGAATAATATAGCATACACCACGATCTAGCAGATAATGAAACAAATACGGGCCAGCAATTAAAGAGCATCTCGAAGGAGAGGTAGGAGTCATACGACATACGAGTGCTTTGGCTTGATTTTGATATTGAAAGACTTCTCGACTAAGCTGAAATAAAAAAGACGGTATGAAAACTACTTATTTAAAGGTTAGCTAAATCAAAGATACTTTCTTCGCCCAACGTAAACTTTACATATAAACACTTCTTAATCACACCCCTCGACTTTCAGTACGCGTAACCGAACCATACCAGTGACAAACATATCTAATATTATTATTTGGAAAGTGAACTCGGTACAGTGTGTACCAAGACGTAAACCACACGATGTAATGTAACACCATGATGAAGGAAAAAAGAGGAAGGAAAGGAAATAAGAACGAACAGATAGTCAGTTTCAAAAAGCTTTCATTAGATCTATGTCAACGTTCACAAATAAAATACTCAAGGAAGTGACAGTAAAGTCAACTTTGGTTTCGATTAAGTTACATTTGATATCATTCATTACAAGTAGGTCGAATAATTAAAGTCTCAGTAGTGAGATAACAGATGCTTATCCAACATACTTACCACTTACCTTACAGCGCTATGTCACACACTGACTAGTTTTGTCACTTTCAACCCGTCTCATGGCTGACAAAAGTGAACAATATACGACTGGCTAAGGTGACATTTGTAATATGCCAAAGCTAGCTAAGCTGGTTTTCAAGAGGACATCACTAGACAAATAACAATTTCCATAACAAAACAACTGTCACACTTCAATCACTCACATGGTGATGTAAGAAATCTTTCGGAGGTAACTGAATGAGCATCCGGAGTTGTCAGTTAGAAGAGGTCAACTTTTACAGGTGTAAAGCAAAAATACCTCATGCACTATACCACTTGAACTTTTTCCATCAGATTAAAACCATAAAGGCACCATGAGTGACTGAGACTGAGGGACGTCAATGACTTTTGGTCCACGATTAGAAGTCTTGCCAATCACATCACTAGCACTCACATAAGTAGTAAGATAAACGAACTTCTCGACTAATTCCACCGGTTCAATAGCAAAAGTAAGTCTAAACGTGGAGTCCTGTTAATCTTGGATTTAGTTTGTGCAAGGCACGTACTATGCTTATGGACACATCGTCATTTAATTGCAAGACTGCATCTTTCACGCTGAGACTATATTGCCTACAAGCCTGGGGCAAAAATGTATTTCTTCTTATAACAAATACACACTGTCACTACGCACCTTCACAACTGTCTTTAGAATATCAAAGAAGAAAGATATATAGGGATGACGGAATGAAATCATCATGCTGTTTCACTGTGGGTTTCAAACAGTGGAATCAAGCGTCTGCATGCTCACATTTTAACTCTACTAGTTTTGTAAAAAGCTCATAAGACATAAAAATGTCACAGGTACCCATTTTTGACAAATACTTAGTGAAGGTATAGTGTGCGCTGCTGATCGGAATGGATATAAATAGTAATATTGAGAGGGCGGTAGAAATCAAAAGGAATTAACAGCAATGGGTAAGGATACTGCCAAGAGAAAAGCAAGAGACAAGGCAGTCGTATGAAGAGCAAATCAAGATAGAAGCAGAAGAGAAAATGAAGCACATTAAGCAAATGACTGTCTTAGTGGAAAATGTACAATATGTGACGGCTACTGTACTAGATGTCAGTAATAAACATTCCTTTCTGTGTGTCTTTTCGTTTCCTAAATACGGTACAGATACGATTTTCAAAAATGCAGATAAACATCTTACTTTGTCGTCATCCTGGATAGTCGCAGCGAGCGGCAACCCATCAGTCACTCTAGCAATGAGTGTAAGGTATATCATGAAGCAGAATTGATACTGAGATGTATAGAAGATTGTGAGCGCGAAAGTTAATAGTGCCTGATATTATTTGCTCCAAGAGCACCGGTTGATACCAAAGCAAGATTCATGCACTGAATCTAGACGTAAAGCGAGTATCCAGGTATTTAGATCTTCAACAACAAAAAACGCCTTTAGGTAAATACACAACCAGGTACACGTGTAACACCTGAAGCCTTCTAGGCGCACTAAGACCTTGACTAAGTAGCACATCCTTAGATGTGTTTAAACACAAACTGCACTTAAACCATGTGTAATCATACTGAATTCGGAGTTTTTCAGCCTACAGCTTGCTTTTTGTGGGGGTTGTTGGTGAAATTTAAGTGAGACTGCAGACTCTTGTTGCCTAGTAACTTTGCCACAAACCAGCTTCAGCAGACTGGTTTCTCCATACTGGTTTCTTGATGCTGAACAACAGTTCAATGCATTTGGTGGATGCAAATATCTCCCAAAGCTCTAATGAACTAAACAACACATCCCACTAATCCAATGTCTAATACTGACAGTGGAAGTGTAGAAAACTGATAGTTTTTGATTTCTCGCGTCTAGTCCTTAGGGCTTGGTTCCGGTTGTTCGGTTCACTCCTGCAGTGGACAAGGAAACCCTCTCTGCCTTCTTGCTTTTAGCCTCGGTGAGGTGGATGTTTTGTGCGTTAGTAAGCTGCAAGTTGCAGAGTTACTGGGTAGCTACAGGTCGTGGGAAGGTTAGGCAACTTTTGTGACTCTTGTCTGTGTAGGTATCCGAGTGAAAATGGCAAGGAAGTGGTGAAGAATGAAAGAAAGAAGAGGGAAGGAAGACAAAAGAGAGAGAAAATGGGGTAAAGAAGAGGAAAAAAGTACATGGAAGTTGCCCGAAAGGCGAAGGTAGATAGCTTAGGTCTATTTTCTAGAGAAGAGTTAGCAGGTAATGTGAGTGTGTTAAAGGGGGGATAGTGAGTGGTAAGTAGAAGGGAGATGAGGGTGGGCTAGTGATGTTGGCGACTCCCTGAGTACGTCCATGGTAGACCGTGCGGTGTTACATAACTATCTAACCGTCCCTTGACCGAGTCAACCGAGGGGCTATGACGATATGTCGCGACAATGCATTCCGGAAACCACCTACTCCCAAGGAGGAAAAGTCAGATATGGGCATGGTATTGGCTCTCTGATGTGGTATTCTAGTGGAGTTTTCTCGTGACGACCGCAGTGTTGCAGGCAAGGTTGATTTGTTTGCGTGGTTTGCCCTACGGGCGATCTTGTGGGCCATAATAATGTCACCCCTCTCCCTACGATAACCCAAGGTGAATAGGTTTACGTGTTTTAGTCTTTCACGATATGCCTACCCCCTTAGCCCCACAGATGCGGCCGCACGTAGGGTCTGAAAAAGACGAGGCGGATTTTGGAGACGGTGGCCCCAAATTGTCTACGCCGAAAGTACAAAATGGCGTTCGCTCCGGTTGCCATAGCTTTGAAGTTGGGGCTGGCGTTCAAGGTGTCAGCGAAGTTGAGCCCCAAATAATTCTCTGCATACACTCGGTGGTAGCACGGTTGCTGGACATGTACAGGAAGTCGGCCATCCTTGCTTCATACTTACTAGTGTTGCATTACTTTGCACTCTTCCAGGTTGAAGCTCAAGCCACTTTCCAATGGCCAGAGTCCGAATGCTGCAAGTCCCTTTGTAGCGCCGTGTAGTCGGCTTCTTTGTTTACTACCCTCCAAATTTTACTGTCGTCAGCGAAGAGAGGGACAGGTGAGGATATTTTGTCTGGCAGATCACTGACAAACAGGAGGAACAGAAGTGATCCCAGAATTGTTTCTTGGGATACTACTGACGTCAGGGGTCTCCACTCCGACCCTATCTTGTTTACTTTGGTGCAGAACCGCCTCCCTTCCAGGTACTCCTTGAACCAAGAGAGTAGGGGTTCACTCATTCCGGCTGACATGATTTTGTGAAGCAGAACTGTGAGTGGGACACTGTCAAATGCTTTGGCTAGGTCAAGAAAAACAACACGTACCGGTTTTCTGCTACCTACATGGGCTCACGGTCGTCCCAGACGGTTGGTAGGTTGGCGGCACATGAGCAGTCACTCCGAAATCCATGCTGAGCAGTATGGAAAGTCTTGCTCTGTTGAATAGTTCCCAAATAGTGTCAGCTTCCAGGCCTTCTAACACTTTCGACGAGATCCAGAAAATGTTTCCGTAGTGCAGAATCACTAGTATTTTCGCCGTCACGATCTATTCTGGTGAAGGAAAAGAACATAGTTTTCACGACGCCTACTCCACATCAGCTAGCTACGTTATGATCGAAGTAGTGACGATGAAGCCTTTTATTTAGGCCTTTCGCCATTGCTTAGTCCTAAACAGATTCATTGCGGATGCATCACTTTGCCACTTCTGGACACAGTACAGAATGGAATATGCATGGACATCCTGAAATGGAGGCTGTAACATACTAACGCATTAACTGACCGTCACTGTTGGTTGGATGATTGCGATTTCGCCATCACCCTGCTTGAAACAGAGCTCCATGTGCCACGATCCGGTTCATTTGCTCGTTTAGGAGCCAAATAGTCAAAACACAAGCAGATTTGCCCATAAGGCAGCGTCTAAGTCTGTACATGCGACAAACAAGTCCCGGAGTTGACAACGTAGAAACTATGTAGATTAATTGCACTGTATTTTATGACAGCACGTAGCCGATGCACTTCAAACAACAAACCCTACAGAATCGTGAGACGACTTCATATCCAAAGGCCAAGTGACTGCGTTGGGATCATTTTCTTTAAACAGATCGATAACAAGATATCCATGAGAAATTTGTGAAGTGAGGAATGAATCAGGTTATCAAGGACGTACTCTTAACAGAGAAATAGGTAGCATATTTCATGGCGGGAAACATCCTTGGTAAGGGTGAGATTTAAAATATTATTGCTCCGGGGTCCTGTGGGAGTGTTTTTTGTCCATCAGCAAAGTTCAGTTGCATCTAAGGGAAAGTTGTAATGAGATGTAGCATGAATTCATTCCCAAAAGATTTCTGGCTAAATAGAATCTTTAAAACTACAGTTACAACTCACTAGACAATTGTGTGAACAAAGAAAATTCTCTAGGATAACTCGTTCAGGGGTCACATGTAAGTGTAAACATTGAGTAGTTTCGTGTTGATAATGCTGAGACTTCGTTCAATGTTTTGTCAATAGTATTATGCCACTGAGGAAGTCACTTCAAGCATGTCCTGTGTGAACGACAGTGCCAGGATCAGTTAACACTGGAATTCAACTCGAAATCATTAGTTATCTGAATGATTATGGGGCTTATTTGAGAGGACAGACCAATAAAACAATAGGTGGGTGCCTATGAAGTTTGATCCATTAAAAGAAGCAAGAGAATCCTGAAAATAATATCTTGGTAGAATGACGCTAACACTAGGCATCGAAGTAATAATAATAATAATAATAATAATAATATATTTCATGCGACAAAGGTTACATGAATACAAACCAGTTTACAGGTTTGATCACTTTGGTAATGGGAGATAACTATTATGTACAATGTTATGCTATACATTAGATGCTGTGATTTATGGCATATAGGAGGCATGTTGAAGCAGGCTCAGTTCGAATTTGAAGATTATCCGGTCATCGTTTGAATCATCCAATATTCTTGAAGGTGAGGCTGTACTGACCATTAAACTTACTTGAGGAAGTGTCCAGAACCAACTGTTTAGAGGTAAGCTTAGGTGGAAGAAGATGAAGGTGCGCACGACAGTAATGAAAGTCAGCCTGAAGCTGAAGATATCACTACGAAATAGAAAGATTAGAGGATATTTGACCAGGTATTAACTTGTTATATACCTATGTACAAGCGTATGATGAAGTTATAAACATTTAGGTGAAATTCGTGGTTTTTTTTTGTTCTTAGGACCACCACCCTTTATCTGGTCACGAGGGGATGATCATGGTGTTGCCTGTTGAGCATTACCATATCGGGTCTACCGAAACTATGTTGGTGCAGAGTACTTAGATGTAAGGGCAAATAATAAAGAGTTGCATGCTATGAAAATGCACCGACAGACAGTTCTTTTATCTTTTCGGAGTGGAGAGTTTACTTTAAGGGGCGATTTTTAGGAAATAGGTGTTAAGTCGTGAGATCGGTTAGGTTGTGAAGAAAAGTAGGTTACATTTGAGTATCTAATAAGTTCACTGTAGCATATCGTGTCGCACTCCGCTTCCTGTCCACTCTTGGTCATTTTTTTTCTAAGAAATTAGATTTTAACTTAACTATTGCGTTTAGTTTTCGGCATTGTATACTTATGTCATTGCTGTTAGTCTCCCTTGAGTCTAGGTACCAGTAGTACCTTAGTGCATGGCATTACCGTTTGTGGTTTGGCCGTCAACGAATTGATGAGATTCGTTAGATAGGAGGAATTTACTAAGTAATCGTTGAAACTGGCCGAGCGAACGGCATGCTCGTATAGGAGCGGGAAGTTTGTTCCACAGCATACTGTATTGCGTTATGAAAAACCTACATCGAAGTTTTGAGCGATACTTATTTATTGGGATGATGTTCTCGCTATTACGCAGATTATATGCCTGTGTTGTTTTAAAAGTGACAGCACATTTCGTTTTAGGGTTTGTAAATAAAAGACGAAAAAGAAGTGTTAAGTTGAGCTTCAGGCGTCTCAGCCAGAGTGATTCTAGTCCTAGTTTTTTGCATCTTGCTTCGTAAGGAAGTCCTTCGTTATGTATTAGTAGGCGCCGAGTAAAGTTCCGTTGAATGTTCTCTACTCGAATTCTGTCCGACACATTCATGCTACCATAGATAACGGTGCAGTACTCTAATATTGGGCGAACCATAGCCTTGTACAGTATAAGTTTTGCCTCAGGTATGAGTATGTTTCTGTGTAGAAGACCGATGAGTCTTCTGCCCTTGGAAACTACTGAGTCTGCATACTCCGTAAAAGTCAAACTTCTGGAGTAAGTGATTCCG